GTGGGGCTGCCCGTCCTTCCCCAGGGCTGTGCCTGGCTGGCCCCAAGCTGAGCCAGCGCTCCGAGGTGTCCCGGCGTGGCCTTGCAGTTGTCTCTCTGTTTTTAGGGCTTAGAGAAAATCATTCAGCGAGATTTCTTTCCTGATGTGGAGAAGCTGCGAGCGCAGAAGGAATATCTGGAGGCGGAAGAAAATGGTGACTTGGAGAAAATGAGACAAATTGCTATCAAGTTTGGCTCCTCCTTGGGTCGATCATCAAGGGACACACCTGCTGCACCCTGTAAGAACTGGCTCACCGAGGTGTAAAGATTTTATATCTAATATCACTGCTCTGGTTTATCTAACTTTGTGCAGGCAGTGCTTATCTTAAAGAATCAAGATTGACATTGCATGGGAATTAGTATACCAGTATCTGATGGCTGATGCTGAATTGATCATTGAATTTGATCATGTGTAATAATTCCTGCTTGGGGAAATGGCTTTGTAAAAAACAGCTGTTGAATAACCATTTCTCATAGGCATCTTTTGCCAAGTTCCTGCTCAGTAGGGAATGTTAAATGCTCTAATGTGCAATATTATACTATCAGAAACTCTAAGCTATGTTTTGAATCCTTTTTGTAGTTTTAGGGGTTCTTGTTGCATCTGCAGATGTGTCCATGGAGACAGAAGGTGTTGGAAGCTTGTGATTACCAGAGGTTTGCCTAGCAGACATCCAATGCCCTGTTGTATGTTTGTTTTCACTTCAAGTTCAGATGTTTTTGTACTAAAGCCCAGTCCCTGGCTGAGCTCTTGCAGTGGGGTGTTGGTAACTGGCTTTCTCATGGCAAGGGACATGTGTCACCAAGTGGTTTCCCTTCCTCCCCTTCTGAAGTTGCTGGCCTTGGCCAGGGTTAGGATTGTTATGCTGGCTGCTTGCTTCTGTTGGCAAAAGCTGTAGATAAGCTGGCAAATATACTGGGCTGTGACTCTCCTATGAATTTTTCTCAGCAGGAGAAAAATAATGTCTTAGGTGAAAGCAAAATCTTCTTCAGTGGTTGAGACAGAACTGAATATTTTTGAGTCTTTTCACAATTTTTTAATTAAATTGTTCTTCTTTTGATATGTTTTCTGTGACTTGTTTGGCACATGACCCTTTCTGTGGTGGAAGATGTCACAACAAGTGTCCTGTTCCATGCTCTAGTAACTGTGTGAGCATTTGTTTTCTGTCACAGATGTTACTCCAGCCACGTTTGAAACCCCAGAAGTACGTCCGGGTGGCCTTCCACTGGGGAATAAATCCAAAGCTGGCATCAAAGCTGGGGAAGAAGGTAGGAGAATGATGTTTCTCTAGCTGAATTCTTCAGCAGCAGGAAAATACTTTCCTGAGCTGTCTCCTATAAGGGTTTTGGGTGTTTAGCAGATGTTTAAGCAGTTTCCTTTAACCTTTTAGTAGGTGAAAACGATCACTCTGAACTTGATGTAATGTTTTACATCAGGTATATGAATTCTCAATTATTGGTCTCTTTATGGCTGTGTAAATTCTTAAGTCAGGTGATCTCTTTGAAGGCAGAAAATTTTTCCTGTGTCACCTGAAATTAAGTAAACAAAGATTGTAGGGGCAGAGCTATTCATGTAGTATATTAGAAATGCCTGCTAGCAGCTGGCCACTTGCTCATTTTCCCTTTAACCCAAATAGCTCTAAATGCCATAGAAGGTTTTATGTGAAAATTTGTTATGGTACCACTCTGCATGTATGTATTTTCTTTACCGAGCTTCATGGTAATTATGAGTGGGTCCGTAGAAGGCGCACTGGCAGTAGGGATTAAGAGCTGTGTATAGCGCTCTCATAGAAAGGGAGGTGTTAACCTTTCTCAGGCTTATTCCCTCCTCTTGTTAGGAGAAGCAGAAAAAGATGATAAGGACGCACTTCCCAGTCTGGACAGCTTCTTAGCAAAACACACCAGTGAAGATAATGCTTCGTTTGAGCAGATCATGGAAGTGGCCAAAGAGAAGGAGAAAGTCAAGCATGCTTGGCTGTACAGTGCAGAAGAGGAGTATGCACAGGTAGGGAAGTGGCTCAGCTGTACCTCTGCTCTTCCAAAGTGACGCAACAAGGAAATACCATTTTACTGTATTTCTTTCTTGTTTGATTAAATAGAGTTTTATCTTAACTTCTGTTTTTGAATCCTGCTATAAATACATGCTCATTGGCTCTGAGCATGGCGATATCGCATTAGGCTGGTGAATTACTCATATTACTGAATAAGAATAGAAAGGTCTTGATTTTGAATAGTAGGTGCATGGGGTGATCACATCTAAATCTGAGCTAATCCTCAATTTCCTGGGTCCTGTGACAGCTCAGTGCTTCCTTTTACAGTCCTATTTTTCCTCATCTGTAATGCAAGAACAGCATTTGATATAGTTGCTTCCTAAAGCTTTAAGTCTGAAGCATTGCACTAAGGGCAAGTATTGCTGTTATTGGCAGTATCTTCCATAAGCAGCTATATATACCAAGGACAGTGACTGAGAACAGTTCCTGTTGTTGTTTATCCATCAGCCCTTTATTATTTGGAGTTAGATTGTTTCTCTCATCTCAGTTTTCTGTTTCTATTATCAGTAATAATCCATTCAGCTGCCAAAGTAAAGTACTGTACACAGTATGGCTGCTGTCCTGTCTTCCTCGGCTACCTTTGTGAGAAGTTCAGGGACTGTTCTGGGGCTGCCATGTCAATCCTTCTTCATCAATACTGAGCAGCTGGCACTGTTGCCAGATGTGTCAGTGATGGGTGTGAGTCACAGTGCCTTTTAATGAAGTTTGACACTGGCGCATGAGTGTTTACTGCTGCTGTTGTGAATGAGTGTTTTTATCCCAGCTAATGTAAACCCTTGGAGTCTGTTACAATAGAAATGCCCTCTGTGGCTCCTTATGCATATTCTTTGCTCAAATGCTTTCATCCAGAATTAAAAGGCAGGGAGCAGGAGAATGTTCCCAAAGCACAGGGGTTGTTTCAGGTCAAGGGGAAGTTGCTGGAGCTGGTCTTGTGCTGATATTGTGTGTCTTCCTGTCAGCCAGCACTCTGTTCAGACCTTGCATTTTCTTGCACAGCATGCCCGTTTGTGTAGCAGACAACTTCACTGTGCTTCATTTAACGTATTCAGTGTCAATACTGCTATGTAAATGTACATGGACGATACCTATTAAAGACCACATCGGTTGATGTCTTTAATATATAGCTTCTGTCAGTAATTGTCTAGTTTAATTAGTGTGAGAACTTTAAAATGGAGTAATTTATTGGTGGCTGATTGCCTTCTGTTAGTTTCTTGTTGGTATCAGTGATACTAATATGCTGGCAACAGCACGCAAGTAATTGTGCAAATGTGTCAAATGCTTCCATACCTGTACTGCATATAGAAACGTTTGAAAACTCTCTGACCAAGTATTGAAGAAGTGTCTGTTCTTTTGTTACTGCTTGCCCCAGCTAATGCAGTTTGCAAGAGACTAGGGTGTACAAATATTCTCTCAAGGTTACCAGCCAAGGCCTTGTAGATGGCCTTTATATTAGATAGCAGGGTCATATGTTACTCTTCCCTTGTTTAGCAATGAATGCTTCATTTGAATTTTGATTAGTGGATAAGAGGAAAAAAAAAAAAGCCAGAAAAAGTTTAGCCATCACAAGTGTTGTCACAAGATGTAATAAAACCAGTCATAAACATAATCTTTCTGAGAAGATAATTCTTTAATTCTCCCTGCATATGGACTTGTTGTTTGCAAGCTCTCCTGGGAACAGGATGGTTTCTCAAATGCCACTTGCTGGAGAGTGCTTGTGCCACGCCAGATGCAAAGTGTGCTAGGGCAGGTAGCTGAGCTCGTGATTGAGCTCTCCAAGTTATGTATGTCTAATTGCAGGAGTTTTTCAGGCCTGATTTTTTTTTTTTGTGTCCTTTTTTAATGTGGTGGTGTGTTTTTTTTTTCATCGCCCTTTCAGCGACGAAATGAGAACCTGGCACTTCCTTCAGCAGAGCAGCAAGCTCTGGAGAATGTGAAAGCCGGACTGGAGACCTGGGAGTACACAGCTCGAAACACCCTCATGTATTATCCAACAGGTGAGGTGTGCAGGTTTCTCAGGAAAGGCATTGGTTCTAGGTGGATTGACTCCAAACAGTGTTTACAGCACTTTTTCTTAGGTGAAGTTCATATATATATATATATATGTATTGTTTTTGGTTTTTTTTCTTTATTGACCTTGCTCCTTTGCCTCTGATTGCAAAGTTTGATCATGTTCTATTTGTCATTGAGAAGCACGTTATCTTTATTACAGAAGAACTTCTTTCCAGGAGCCGAAGCTTTTTCCGGTTTGGTCTGTCTTATTTATGAGCACTTTATTGTGATCTTTATTCATTCTTTGCCTCTGCTCAAAGAGTGCTCCCTGGGCTTGTTGGTCCCTTTGTTGCTATAGAAAACTACATAATTTTGTAAATGCAGTTTTCTGTAAAAATGATAATTTCTGCAAACCAGTCAAGTAGAGAAGAGAAAATCTTACTGTTTTCTAAAAAAAAAAATAATTAAAACCTCATCCTATTTTATACATTTCAGATGTTACAAAGCATATATCTTGTGCAAATATTATTTTAAATTCCTAGGGATAGACACTGCAACTGCTGATGGATTCTGTGTTGTGTAGGAATGCGTGGCAAGTGTCACGTTGTTTGGGAACTTTAGAGCACACTGCCTAGGGTTACCTGAGCCCTTCCTTAAAAGAATTCTTGCTTTTCAAGGTGTACCTGATGAGGAAGATGTATTCAAGAAGCCCAGGGAAGTTGTCCATCGAAACACCCGTTTTGTGAAGGACCCTTTTAGCCAAGCCGTGAGCAAATCTCAGCTCCAACAAGCTGCAGCTCTCAATGCTCAGGTTGGATAATTTTACTTCTTCTGACTTGTTAGACTCTGCCCTCTGGTATTGTTCATCACCCAGGAGAACTGTGTGTGTGTGCTGGATACAGCTGACTCACACCTTTCTCCACATGAATGGCTTTGTCTTTTTTATTTCAGTACAAACAGGGCAAAGTGGGACCAGATGGGAAGGAACTAATACCCCAAGAGTCTCCAAAAGTGAATGGATATGGATTTGTGGCTACCCCCTCTCCTGCCCCTGGTAAGAGGGTTTTCTTATTTTTTATGATGTAAGAGGACTGCTACTGCACTCATTTTGAGGCTCTGTTTGTTCAACGCTGGGGTATCATTGGTTTAGACAAGGAGGTAAGCCTTCTACCTGTATATATCTAGTGAGCTGGTGACTTTCTCGTGTACCATGTATGCCAGCTTGGTGCAGTGCTTAACTGCTAGTCCATTGCACGGCAAGAGAAGTCGTGCTGTACTCAGGGGGCTCTGAGCAAGCTGCCGTGCCATTGCTTGGGAATCATCTAGAGGGCAGTGAGCCTCTGTAGGCAACTGGGGTGCTGTGGCTGCTTGTTTTATCCCTGGGTGATGCTTCTCTAGAGCTTAAAGATAAGAATTCAAACATTTCACAAACATTAACCTGATGAGTTCAGGTGCTGATTTTTTAAAACAAGGAGCATTCGTGTCAATGTATCCAGTAGTTTGCTGAGTGATGATACAGCCTGACTCATAGGGATGTGGCATACCTCACTTCCTTGACAGTGTTACCTACTGTTTTCCTCCAGGTCTACTGCTTTCTAGGTTCTTCCTTTGTGTGAATACACTTGTGTATTATAGATTCCTTTTGTTCAGATGCATTAGTCACACAATACTTGGAGTTAGAACAAACTGATGACTTTTCTTCCAGTTGAGATGTGGTATCTGAATGTTTTGCCGTTCTTCACCAGCAATTATGTTTCCCTGTCTTTTGTTATTATGCTAAAAGGTGAGCACACTGAGGCTTTTCCTTCGGAAACCTGTAGGTGGCATTTGGAGCGCACCTCCGTTCTCCATTGTAAATGCCTTTTCCAAAGCCTGGGCAGCAGGATTTTCTAGCCAGTGACTTAATTGGGATTTTAGAATCTATTCTGCAGTTGTAGCTGTTAGACAAGGTGCAGTCACTGTTTCGTACAAGCTAGCTTCAAGATGAATTGAAGGTACGTTTGGCTATTATATGTATCTTAAGTCCTCTGCCCGTCCCTGCTTTTAAATAGTTCCCTGTGTTGAAGGAGTTTTCATACAATAGCAGAGGGGAAGACTAGTATCGTAGAGGAAAAAATGAAAGTCTCACTAAGCAAAAGCTCACCAAATGGAAAAATAAACACATGGGAAGGACAGTGCTTGGGTGTTGTAACCTAGAGGGTGACACAGCCACAGGCAGTCCTGTGAGTTTAAGGTCATGCCCTTTTAAAGGGAACCACATGGTACTATTCAACATCGGCTCTGATTTCCTCTGCAGTGGAGGGGCTCCTTTGTGCGTTGATGAATTTGCTGCATTTCATAATTAGCTTCTCTGGGTGTTTTGTGGTGATCGAATAGTCAAATATTTTGCATGAGCATGACTTTTAAAATTTGGTTTTAGGTGTGAATGAGTCTCCTTTTATGACATGGGGTGAAATCGAAAGCACCCCTTTGCGTCTAGAAGGCTCAGAAACGCCGTATGTGGACAGAACACCTGGACCAGCCTTCAAGGTATGTCATGTCAGGAGTCAGCATGTCATTCTTGGGGGGGGCGACTAATAAGGGAAAGGCAAGTGAGTAACTGATAGATTAATATTGTTGTGGGAGTGTGACACATCTCTGGGCTGTGTTCCCAGTCCTTGAGACTAATAATCTAGGTTCTGCTTGGAGGGTGGAGGTGGACGTGGCTCCACATGAAAGCTGCTTGGTGGAGATACCTGAGGTGGAGCACACACTGCTGGCAGGAGAGTGAGGCTCACTATTTGATGAGGGCCCAAACAGAGGGACTTTCAGAGGAAGCTGAAGAGGTGCCTGGTTTCTTGATTTCTCTGATTTTAGTGTATGAGTGGGTAGAAATTGTAGGATTTCCCTTTGTCTTGATCTCCTGGCTGTCACAGCCTGAGGCTGGTGTATCACTTCAGGGTAGAAAAGGTGCTTTGGCTTTGCTAATAGCAGCTGACCCTGCGTGCCACCTATCTCCCACTGGTGTCATTGAATGTGAGCTGTCTGAGACTCTTACTTTAAGAAAGGTGTAATTTGCTCTCTGAGCCTCTGTTTTGTCAGGCTGCAGAGCTCTTGACTGGTTCTCCTGCTGTTTAGCAATGTCTGTGTTTGCCTGAGCTGGCTGGCTACAGGCCAGGCTAGGCAAGACACAGGTGACATTGTTTGTCTAGAAGAGACAGCAGGAGGAAATGCCAGAGATAATGGCTGCTTCCTTCACTGAACTGGTTTTACCATTTTTGTTACTTGCTAAGGCAAGTTGAAGGTCTCTCTGTGTCCTCTCCGGCTTTTATATACCAGCAGAGAGGTGTGGGATGACCCCACTTCTCCTCGGTTTAGATCCCTGTAGACTGGAATCCAACTGTGAAGGTGCTTTGACTCATTTATGCAGCACTCGTATGAGTGCCTTGACGAGTGAACTGTGTGATGCATTTATAGATCCTGGAGCCTGGGCGCCGTGAGAGGTTAGGACTCAAGATGGCCAATGAAGTGGCAGCTAAAAACCGAGCAAAGAAGCAGGAGGCCCTTCGAAAAGTGACAGAAAACTTGGCCAGGTGAGACTTCTGTTCTGATAGGAGAACTGGGGATGGGTATTTTCTGATGAGATTTAAATCAACATATGTAAAAAGAGAGGAATGATGAGAGTACTGGAAGCAGGAAGAGGTACAGTCAAACTAAAAGTTTCTGGAAACTGGTGACTGTCCCTGATACTCTTGTCACTATGACTGTTATAGTAATGCTGATAGTCTTGTCGGTGTTACTGTTCTGCCCCACAGCCACCCAGCAATGCATCTGGATCGGTGTCTTGCCTCATTGCAGAGGGGAGACATGATTAAGGCTTGCTTGGCTGGGTGGCAGGAGGGACAGAACAGGCTGGAAGGAAAAGGCAGACAGTGCCACTCAGGTTTGGGAGGGATGTAGGAGGTTTCTCTGTCACTTCTCTTTCTAGAGAGAGCCTGCAGGTCTGGGGGGGAAATGGACACCGAGGTTGCCTGTGGAAGCATTGGTGCTCTTCCTGATAAATTGCAGATTTTTACTGTAAAATCTTTTAAAACTGTTTATTCTATTCCAGCCTCACTCCAAAAGGACTAAGCCCAGTAATGTCACCAGCTTTGCAAAGACTAGTAAACAGGACTGCAAGTAAATATACCGACAAAGCCCTGCGAGCCAGCTATACTCCTTCCCCTGCCCACACAGGAACTCCTGGTTACAAGACCCCGGCAAATGGGCCTCATACACCCACAAGCACCCCGCAATCTAGGACAGTATCTCAGACGCCAGTATCTCAGGATACTACATCGATCACAGACAATTTACTGCAGCTTCCTAAGAGAAGGAAGGCATCTGAGTTCTGAATATTCCTCTCACCAGCAAGGCGATAGTGAACTGGCTGTGCTCAGCTGGCAGACAGCTGGATGTTGTGAGCCATCGGTTGTAAGGGGTGTCTAGATACAGCTGCCAGAATGGAAGCCAGCAGTTACAAGATCTGGGACCAGCACTACTCTAGACTATATAGCTAAAGTAGCCTGTGATATGCTTTTTGGAAGCAGAGTATCTCTTGCTGTGGTATAACTCCGCTTTGAACTGCATAGTGGGATACACAGGGCTGCTGAAGCAAAAGGATCCTTCTTGCAGTGGCAGAGAAGATTCTGGCTTTTGGAAAACGGCGATAGTTTTTTAAAGATATATTTCTCTTTTTAAGATGGCCATGCATTTAAATAAGTTTCTGTACAGATATGTCTATTTATAAAATGTGGTAAGCCTTCCTAAAATGTTGAACTGGACTTTCTTCTAGCTTGTGAAACTTGTTTGGTTTTGTGCTTTGCAGAAGAGGGGATAAAACCATGTATATACTGAGACATGACCCAGAACTTTAGAGGGCTTCTCTTTAATTTAAGTGGAGTTTAAACTGATGCTCTTGAAGGTACAGGGAGCCTGTCAAGAGAGGTGGTACATTATGAAAACAGTACACATACAGTTTCAGACATCAGTTCACGCTTCCTAATAACCTGCCCTCTTACTTATTGAATCTAGAATGTGGTTGATGCACGGGTGAATTCTGCAGCCGGTGTAGTCGGGAGCTTGAGAAACATGAACATAAGAGCTGTTAAATGTCAGCAGCACTGAAAGAAACTGTCCAATGTGTTTTGACAGTAACTTCTTGACCCCGCAAACCGTATCAGAGACAGGTCTTTTGAGAATAGTAGTGTTAAGCTGTTCGTTCACGTTAGCAGATGTACTGTGTCTTCTGTTGCTGTACTTCGTAAAGCAAAAGACGAGGGCTATTTCTGAAAGGGTACAGAGAAGCTGAAGCTGAAAACCACCAGTTCTCCATCCTTAAAAGGCTCCCTTTTCTTTCTCTTCTCCTTCCCTTTCTGCAGAATGGGATTTGGCTTGCAGCTTGTGCTCAGACTTTCATTCGCGCGGACTTTGGGAATGCTCACCCTCTTCTGCAGCTGGCAGAGGGGATGGGATTGTGGATTTCGGAGTCTGCAACCATGAGTGTTTCAAAACTTCATCTATGCACAACCTCTGAGACACGTTGGGCTGGAGCAAGTGGTAAATGAGGTCCTTGCACTCTACAGTCAGGTGTTTTGAGTTGGGGAAGGGAATCCTGTGTTGTTTCTGAATACAGATCATGTTCCTGACATTGGAATCATCAAATGGCATTAAAGCGTAGACCATTGTATATAGGATGACACCCAGACTCCATATGTCAGAAATCCTGGGGTCGCAAGGAATGCCCTGCAGCACTTCAGGGGCTGCGTATGCAGCAGAGCCACAGAAGGTTTTGCTGAGAATTGTTCTTCCGTTTTCATCCCGAGACAAAGATTTGGAAAAGCCAAAGTCTGAGAGCTTGACGTTGAGGTCCTCATCGAGGAGGATGTTCTCGCATTTCAGGTCCCTGTGAGCGAAGTCCGAGTCATGACAGTGCTTGATGGCAGAAGCCAACTGTTGAAACTTGCTGCGAGCAATGTCCTCTTTCATAGCTCCTGTGATCTTGATGTAGTCCAGGAGGTCTCCCTTTTCCCCCAGCTCCATCACGATGTACACTTTCCCAGCTGATGTCTCAAAAATCTCATAGGTTTTGATGATTGAGGGGTGGTGCAAACGTTTCAAAGCCTCTATTTCCCTGGGGAGAAACCTTTCCAGGAAGTCCTGAGGAGTTTTCTTCTTGTCGATTATCTTGATGGCCACATTGCATTTCAGCCGGTCGCAGTAGGCACATTTCACTTTGCCGTAAGAGCCTTCTCCTAGTGTCTTGCTCAGGCTGTAGCCTTTCTTTCCGAGCACCACAGCATCATCCATGGTGGCAGAGCTGGGGGGAGCAGCATGAGTGAGGACTGGTGTGCATCATGCGTGGTGGCAGGTGACGTGCCCACGCAGCATGGTGGCTACGCTGGTGCAGTGGGCAGGTGGGCACCCCGGCGCTGGCTGCTATGTGATGTCACAGGCCGCCGCCCCTGCGTAGGGCACTTGGAAGGATCTTTCAGTCCTGCTGTAAAGCTACGAGATGATGTCATCCAGGGCAAAACATCAAGTGCCTGAGAGACAGTGGTTTTGCTCTGCATTCTTCATAAAATGATCTTTATATTTAGTTTTGCTAACAGGATGGAAGTTGCTGAAATGGCTTTGCTAAAATGTACCCAAGTCTTTTTATATTTATTCACCTGTCAGTCAGGTGAAATTTCGTCTGTCGTCTTTTTGTATGCCTCAGATGATCTTTCAAGCCCCACGTGGGCTTGCTTCTGGTGTACGGTGGCTTTGCTACCCTTCCTCCAGCTTTCCTCAAAGGGAAGGGTCGCTGCTTTGTCTTCATGGGGGCTGTGTTCAAGAACTGGTTTGGAGTTTTTTCTTTGTTCTTTTTTTTTTTTTTCATGGGCTATTAGGGGAAGGAGTTGGCTTCTTAAGTTAATTTTCTTTTTGTTCATCAAGCCCCTCCATTTTGTCACTCTGATGATTGGCTGCTTTTGTGGGCTTTGCAGCTGGCTTTTTCTTAAACCCTTATTTGGTGGGGGAGTTACATTTTGACTTCCAGCTTCTGCTGCTCTTGAGAAGGGCCCACACCAACACCTTCGTCAAAACAGCTCAGAGGATTACTGTTTTGCATGTTGATTGCTTCCCTGTAATCAGTCTTTGGGGCTCTTTGTTTTGCGTTGATTTCAGCTTTTTCAAATTTGTTTTTACAGCTGCCATGTGTGTGACTCCAAAGACTTGATGATGTTGATGATCACAACACAGGGGTTAGGGACAATCCTGCTTCCTCTACCAGTCCTTGATGATGTCATTCTGAAGAACAGAAGTGATACTTCTGATAACCAGACTGGGGCTTTTGTTTGGGTTTTTTTTTTTTTTCTTCCTGTTCTTTGAAACTTTTGGCTAAATTTTATAACTAGCCAAAAAAAAAAAAAAAACCAAACCCAACCCAAAGAGCAGTTTTAACCATATGTAGCCTGCACTCAGAGCTCTGGTTGTTCTGGTACGGGCTGACCTTTGAGTGTGGCATGAGCACTTGTGCAGCGTGATCCAGCCTGGAGAAGCACTGAGCACCTTTCAGCAGGAAGCAGATGTAGCCAGATGTGTACACTTCTTGCACCACACCTGGGTACAAGGCAGCCTGTGTAACACTTGGCAGTCTTGACATTTGCTATAATCAGGTGATGTTCTACCCAGGGAACATCCATGGAAAATCTTATGCAAATCTTTGAGCAGTGCCCGCAGCCTTCTGTAAGGTCTGGGGTGTTTGATGCTGTGTTTGTCTTGGAGAGCTTCCTCTTGCGTGGTTTCCACTGCCACTTCCAAAACTCACGTCCCTGACTCTGAAAAACCCTTCCAAAGGATTCAGTTTTTATAGTGCACCTTGTAAATGTCAATTGATCAACATGGCATTGCTGGGAATTGTGACTGCAAGAAATTAGTAATTTTTTCTTTTTTTTTAGTTCAGAGATAATTGAAGGCTAAGTTTTTTCTTCAAGCAAAAAAAAAAAATATTCTCAGGTACTCATGAATGAATGTAAAGGGAACACTTACTAGTGTTTCTGTGCTTTCAGAGATGTTCTTTAAGGACTGAACTGGCTATATAACAAGTTCTTGGGTAATTTTTAAAACTATTTTTTTTATTTTATAATGATCACACAATCTACTTATCTCCATGAAATGTAGGACCTCTCTGTTAGGGTACACAGGCAGATGGTCAGGCCCTGGCCTGCAGTTTGGGTCACTGGACAGACCAGGAGAAAGGAGTAGACATGACCTGAAAGATGGCCAGATGCAGCAGGTAGCTGCTGGAACGCTACAGAGAGCACCTGGGGAAATGGCTGAGCTTCACAGGTGGTTGAGGAGGAGCACGAGGACCACCTGGGGCGTGGATCCTGGTGGGGTGGAGGTGACCCAGTCAGAGGTATCAGAAGGACCAAATTTGGCTACGATGTAGCAAGACTGGGCCCAATGGGAAAAAGTAATTAGAGGAGAGTTATTTTGGGAGGAGATGGGGATTAGAGAAGAACAAGTATAGATGGAAACAGGGAAAGAATTTGGGACGTGGACTGGATGTGCGGAAGCAGGTTGTGATCAGCGTGCGTGTGTGAAGCTCGGTGCCTGATCGCCTCCATCTTCGTGTTAGATAATTCCTACCCATTCGCTGGGTGCTAGAGCTCTCTCTCCTGGGCATGGGGTGGGCGTAAAGGCTGGGCAGTGTTCGAGGCACTGTGGATGGGGTGTACAGGTGGATCAGGAGTGCAACGGGGTGTGCATCTTTCACAGCATTTCAAACTGGTCATGCTCATACCAAGATGTAGCTGGAATAACAGAGGGGGCAATATGCTATCTTAGAATGATCAGTTCCATGTTGTGCAATTCATGCTTAAAAGCAGATTGCATTAAATATCCTGTGGGACGGTGTTGTTTTTGTGTTCGCCCTCAAGTGAATTAACCTAGACAGCCCTACTAAAATCACAGCCTTGATTCCACCAGACTGAAGGGCCTTCACATGTTTGCTGGGAATGTAATTTATTTTCAGTGAAATGCTCTAAAACTGGATCTCTTGAAGGGGCTGTAGTGCTCTTCAGATGGGCTCTTCCTGTAACGCCTGCTGTAGTGTCTGGTCTCTGCTTCCTGCTGCAGTTCAGCCCCTGCTATCTGTAATTAGGGAATCAGTGGACTCTTTGTTGCCAGATTTTTTTTTTGCTACTGTAGCACTAGTGGATAACATGCCTTACAGGGCAAAATCCACTGTGTAAAAAAATCCTGGTTGATGATAATTTACAATTTTTTTTTTCCTTCTGTTTTTCAGAGGGTTATTTTCCCTTTGTTGTTTCTGTAGATCTGCATTTTCCTACGTGCAAGGGCCGACGTGCTTCCTCCCTCAGCCAAAAAAGCACCCGCAGCTCTCCTAACGCTGGGGAGATGGCTGGTGGTGAGCGGTGGTGGTGGCAGTGGGGATCTCCTGGGTGGCAGGGATGGCTGTGGTGGGTTACCGGCTGCTTGCAAGAGACCGTGGGAGCCCCAGTGGACCCGTGGCGTGGGGCTGTAACACCCTGGCGTGCAGAGCGTGCGAGTGCTTGCACACGCAGTCTGGGGCTTGGCTTCTGGTTCCATGTAGGAAAGAAAAGGAGGGACCGCAAGGGATCCTTGTTCTTATGAGTAGATGGGAAAGAGGGGGGGATTATGGTTGGTTCGGGGAATGGCAGGATGTAATTCTTAGGGGGAAAGCTGTAAGAACCGTGAAGAGCCAGTGGGGACGAGGGATGAGGTGCGTAACCTGGACG